AGGCTGTCATCTTTACAGGAGCAGATCTCTAGGTCTTTTCTCCTGCAGAGCTGCTGGTGGGTTCAAACCGCCGACCTTTCAGTTAGCAGCCATGCGCTTAACCACTGTGCTACCAGGGCTCCTTAAAGAGAGGGAGGTCCAAATCTCTCCTAGGGTGACATGCTTGGCAGTACCTCTTGGAAGGGGGTGTGCTCATGCTCTGAAGATCCCACCCAAATGATCCCTGGGATTCTGGTTGTAGAGGTCAACCCTAGCCTGATATAACCTTTGGGTACTACTCACCTGTGCCTGCCTCAGACACCCTAGCATTATTTGGAATAGCCTAGGAGCCAAGACACCTCAGTTCTGACTCCAATTCTGCAACATAATCCACTTCTCCGCAGGGCTTTGAACCGGTTCCGTCTGGTTTGAACCCTTGCTGAGAATTTGCATTTCTAATAAAGTTCCCAGGAAGTTATACATGAGAATCACCTGGGGGTCCTGTTAAAATGTAGGTTCTGATTCAGTGTATCTGGGGTAGAAATGCAAATTCTTAGCAGGGAACTTGTTAGAAATGCAAATTCTCGGCAGAAGTTTGAACCAGAATGAACCAGTTCAAAGCCCTGCTTCCCTGGGCCTCAATTTCCTTGTCAACAAGGGAGTTGATATAGATGATCTGGCATCTTGAGGTTAAGGAAAACTTGAAACTAGAAGCAGGTGGGAGGAATGAAGCAAGGGGCACGCTCATTGTAAAGCCAGAGAGGAGTAATTAATAAAAGGAAGAATGAAAAGCAACATTCTTCAAAAAAGAAGGGTAGGAGAAGGGGGGAATGCCTATTTCTGAGGAGTTTACCCCTTGTCTGGAGTCCCTGGGTCGTGCAAACAGTTAACATACTTGGCTGCTAACTGAAAGGTTGGAGGTTCGACTCCATCCAGAGGCACCTTGGAAGAAAGGCCTGGTGACCTACTGCCAAAAAATCAGTCCCTGAAAACTCTATGGAGCACAGTTCTACTCTGACACACACGAGATCACCACAAGTCAGAGGAGACTGAATAGCAACTGGTACTGATAAGACCCTTGTCTGTCTTTGACATTTCTCCAATTTAGCCAAAGCCCAAGCTAGATCTCCTCAGATGACCAAAAGTAGTTTCCTTCCCCTAGCCAACATGCCTGTCTTTTTTGTGGTACATGGCTCCCAGGAGTCAGCCACTGCCCCCACCAATGTCTGGTTTCCTTAGATCTGTTGTCCTCCCAGCCCCTGAATAGGCACATGTACCAGCATTAAGAAAGGCCATATAAATAGCCACATGGATTGTTTAGATAGCAGGGATCAAACACACCACTCGGTATTTTTAACATACAAACACCCAGCTGGACAGCACAGCAGCCTTCTTGAGACTGAGCTCTTAAATAACCCTTCAGAAATGGATTCCCTCTACTCAAGGAGCCCTGTTGACCTTGGATGCCATGTGAACAAACAAATCAAAACCAAAAGCTATCGTTAGATCCCAAACCACTGCAGAAGAGCATCCAGTGGACCCACCCACTCCAAACGGAACCATGAACCAGGAGTAACTTATGAATGGTTTCGGGTTTTCTGGCTTAAAAAACAGACTTGGCTAGTATAACAAGAACTTTGAGCACGTGGAATGCAATCGGGAACTCTGTCTGATCTCACACTGTCCCTTTAAATGCATTCCCTGGAGAGTTGGTTTTTCCCTTGTCCCTAGATAAAAACACAGGCAGCTGTCCCTGACCTTGCTGATCACTCTCAGGTAGTTTGAAGTCACATGGTCACTGTAGACATCAAAGTAGGTTTTTACTAAGAAATTAGAATGCCCAGTCCTTTATAGCAATCAAAGCTCCAAATCTGATTTAAAGTTAAATCTTCTCCGCTCTCCCAGCTTGGCTCCTCACTCTATGAACCTGGCAGGTTTGAAACCTAGGCTTTCTCTTACTGGGACACCCCCGCCCCATTACTGGGAACCCAGGGGTGCATTATCCAGTAGGCTAGGTAAGCACAGTACTTACCTTGCTTACCAGGTCATCTGTAGTAAACAATTTCAGATTTTTCACCACATCAAAGATTCTGCTTCTAGGTATGGCTGGCATCTCTCTCCCAGCCCTGCAACACCTTCCTACAGAATCAAAGCCTCTTTTCAAATTTACAATCCCTGACGGGGCAGATGACCCAGTAAGCAAAGTAAGTACGGGCTTACTTGTGCTTACTCACTAATCTGTGGTGAACAATTTCACATGGGTTTCACTACATCACTACAGATGATCTGGTAGGCAAGGTAGGCACCGTACTTACGTTGCCAATTGAATGATCTGCCCATCAGGGAACAGCTTACCTGACTGAGGCTTTCTTGAGCCAGGTAAGTGAAGCTGCACTCTAGATGGTCACTTACTCCTTCCACAGTCCCTAAGAAGCCGGTGATAAATTTGGCTTCCTTCTGCTGAGGCTTCCTCCAGGAAGTCCTTTTGGACAGAACCTAGACAGTCTCACACCAGTTCTCTCTCCTATGGGACACCCTTTTGTCCACAGACGCTCTCAAGCATCCTTTGACCCAGTAGACTCTAGGCGTTCCAGTCCCTCTGAATATAAGCACCTCTCCTCCAGCTTATCTGACCACAGCTAGCCAGACCAACTGTCATCTTTTAGACTCCCACGCAGGAGTCAGGCAGCAGTTTAAGGTGCCCCTAACTTCAGGGGACACCGCTCAAGTGCTCCAGGTGACCCTGATGAACCCTCTCTAACAGGGTTGAGGTGAACAGTTGGCATCTTCCACCTTCCCCGCCTCTGGGCAGTGGGGAAGAGCTCACAGTACATCTCTCTCCCAAGGACTCCTCCTCTAAATATTCTGTCTCCATATCCACCTTCCTAAACATTTTCTACCCCAGTTACAAGTAACGAGTTTCAGAGTCATCTATCCATTATTGTTGTTGCTAGCTGCCATTGAGGCAGCCCCCAACTCATGGTGACCCCACGGACAACAGAACAAAATGCTGCCCGGTTCTGCATCATCCCCATGATTGGTTGCAGATCGGACCATTGTGGTCCATAGGGTTTTCACTGGCTAATTTTCAGAAGTAGATTGCCAGGCCTTTCTTCCTAGTCCATCTTAGTCTAGAAGCTCTGCTGAAACCTGTTCAGCATCCTAGCAAAACGCAAGCCTCCACTGAGAGATGGGTGGTGGCAGTACATGAGGTACACTGGTCGGGAGTCTAACCTGGGTCTCCCGCATGGAAGGGGAGAGAATTCTGTCTCTGAACCACCACTGCTTCCACTCATTTAACCACAAAGTGATCATATCCAAACCAGGACACTTTTGAGAGAGAAAGAGGCCGTGAGTTAATAATAATGCCGTGACAACGGATGTAACCCAGGGCTAGCCCAAGCAGACCAAGGCCTGCAGTCACTGATCTAACCAGCTCTTTGGCCCCTTACCTTTTAGCCTTTCCTACTGGATGGTCTGCTCACAATTCTCGTTAGTGATATTGATCATCTTAAGGTCTCAGCTACCACTCCCATTTTAATATCCTGTGGCTCTATTTAAAGCCAGCCCATATGCAACTGAGTAGCTACCCACAGACAGCATAATTCAACAAACTTGTGTTGAGCCAACGCTTTGGGAGACTCCAACGAGCCCTGGCCAGTGAAAGAGTAGACCATCCAACCACCCAGTTCTCTTTCAGTAGCATTTCCAATGGGTGCTTCTGGTGGCTACCATGGAGTTTTGCAAATCTTTTCACCAACCAGTTCGTGGAATTATCCTGGAAGGTGTGTACTGGTATCTAATGTAGTCCACAGGGCCCCCACACTCCCTAGAGTGTGCTCAGCCTTTGTGTGATGGCGCTCCTGTCCCGGCCTTTGGAACGGAAGTGCCCTGGAGGAACTCTGGAGCGCAGCCTCCTCCAGGTATTCACCTTTGACTAGAAACCAAACCCCAGCCCTAACTAATAAGCATTAGAAGTCACAGCTGACTGGATTTCCATGCGTGTGTTTGCGCACACTGTGTATTTTGAAGTACATAATTGAGTTTATGTTTGTAGCTGTGGGGTTTAAAAAACCGTTAAAAAACTAGTCACTGGCCAGATTTCTCACTCGCCGGCTCTGTGAGAGATTGCATGGTCACACACCAGCAGAGGAGAGCGCCCACGTGCCTCTGTCTGAGTGCCCAGGGCTGTTAAACTGGACGAGGTGTATTGTGTCAGTAGAGGCCACCACAGCAGACGGAGAAGAGGGCCCTGACTGGAGAACTGGCTGACGGGGCTGGGGGCTTTCTATGGACGGGGGTACACGGAGGATCAGAGTGCCTCTCTTTTATCCTGGACTGCTAGTCCTTTTAAGTAATTTGTTTTATTGAATTTTAGCCAAAGACTATCTGCGGTTCACGATTAATCCAGATTAGGATTTACCAGTCAAAACAGTGGGTTCCCGCCAGGGTGCTCCTTCCTGAGTGGGAAGAGCCTCCAAACAACTCAGTCAAATGGTGGCTTTGTCAGGAGAGGCTGCTAAGGGGCAGGACTGTGCCAGCTCCTTCCTTGGCTTCTGGGAACCCAAGCGCTGCCCAGCCTAAGGGTTCAGTCCTGGAGGAGCCCCTGCTCCCACTGGTAGCTCCCCTTGGGCTCCTGCTGAGCCAGCCCCTACCCTAGACGCCTTCCCAGCCTTTGCCTGAGTACCTCAGAGGAGCTGGCCAGTAATCCACAGTAACACAGACCACCAGGACTGAAAGGCATAGGAGAGTGAAGCAAAGATAGATTTTAGAAGAATGTCCTTACTTATGCTTCCCAGGCCTTTATTTTTTTATTAATTGAGGTAAAATTCACGTAACATAAAAGTCACCATTTCATCCACTTGAAAGTGTACAATCCAGTGGTTTTTAGTACCTTCACAATGTTGTGCAGACATCATCACTAATTCCAGAACATTTCCATCCCCCCCAAAAAGAAACCTTGTCTGTCTCATTTTCCTCTTCCTCCCACCCCCAGGGAACCCTTAGTCTGCTTTCTGTCTCTCTGGATTTGTCTACCAGGGGCATTTCACACAAATGACGTCACACAATATGAGGCTTTTTGTGTCTGGCTTCTTTCACTTAGCATAATGTTTTCAAGTTAATCCATGCTGTGGTCTGTATCAGTGCTTCACTCCTTTTGATGGCTGAATAATATTCCATTGTCCTTTAATATTTACTTCAGCATTTTCTGCATTAACATAGAAAACACACACACATTCATTGTCTTAGTCTTCTAGTGCTGCTGTAACAAATACAAGTGGATGGCTTTAACAAACAGAAGTTGATTCTCTTATAGTCTAGTAGGCTAGAAGTCCAAATTCAGGGCATCAGCTCCAGGGAAGGGCTTTGTCTGTTGACTCCAGAGGAAGGTCCCTGTCATCAATCTTCTCCTGGGCTAGGAGCTTCTGTGCGCAGGAACCCTAGGTCCATAAGACGCGCTTTGCTCCCAGAGCTGCTTTCTTGGTGATATGAGGCTCCCCCCTCTCTGCTCGCTTCCTTTTCCTTTTATCTCTTGTAAGATAAAAGGTGGTGCAGGCCATACCCCAGGGATACTCCCTTTACATTGGATCAGAGATGTGACCTTAGTAAGGGTGTTACAGTCTTACCCTAATCCTCTGATCTTGCCTCATTAACCACAGGCAGAGATTAGGATTTACAACACATAGGAAAGTTACAATCACAGAATGGGGGACAACCACACAATACTGGGAATCATGGCCTAACCAAGTTGACGCATATTTTGGGGGGACACAATTCGATCCATGACATACATACACACACAAATGGTGTCTTGGCCTTTGCACTTGCTGGATTTCTTCATATAATTGTTGGCTTCACGCCTAGTTTCTGATATTGCCTCGGATGTCACTTCAGTCCCCCACCACCTTATTTACAGTGGTACCCCCTCCCCATCCCATCCTTCTTTCCTGATTTATGCTTGTCCTCAGAACTATTATTCTCTGACTTCCTATACTATGTCGTTTTCTTATTGATTTGCCTACCTCTCATCTCACAAGCATGTCCATGTTCCGATTTTTTGTCTGTTTTATTCACTGTTGAATACCTAGAGCCTAAAACAGTGCCTAATACATGGTGGATGCTCAAGAAATAGTTGTTTAATGAATGAAAGTAGTCAGAGCAGAATATGTTAAGAGCTTATGGTGACCCAGTGCTAATTTGGAAGACATTTTCATTTGTATGTGTGGAGTGGCTGCGTAGATACAGGGATAAATAGTATAACTTATTTAAGGAAGGGTCTGAGAGAGTTCCACATAAAGAGCAAAAATCTTTATAAGGGAGAGGAAGGGAAGAGAGAAGCACCGTAACTTCTTATGGCTTACAGAGATGGAAACCTGAAAAGCATGAAAATTGCTCTCATTTTGACTCTGTTTTGAATTTATTTTTTGTCTGTCAGACCAAAAGGAACCAAAGACCTATAGTAATTAGACATTAAGAGCAAATTGCTGGATGACTGCAGACGACTGAACAGTTCTGGTTTAATCTGGGCTCATTTCCATTCTTAGAAGCAGAAAGTGTTAGGTTGGGAAATGCTGCTTGTTGAATCCCAGTAACCTCTCGTCTTCAGAGGTCTTGGCAGTTTGTTTCTGCTGAACGGTGTAATACTTAGGGAGCTCTGTGGGGTTTTCTTTTTTTAATGAGCATGATTCAAAGGGGAAACCCAGGCTGAATCAACCTTCTTCCAGAAATTGTGGATCTGTTTAACACCAAACCCTAGCACAGCCAGAACAATGCTGTAGCCAGTTCTCGTTCCCAACCGCCCCCAGGCTCAGTATCAGCACTTGCAGATGGGGTTAAAGGATCCTACTCTCCAAAAACCAGTTGCCATTGAGTAGATTCCAAGTCATGGTGACCCCATGTGCGCAGAATAGAACTGCTGCCTAGGATTCTCAAGGCTGTGACCTTTCAGAAGTGGATTGCCAGGCCTTTCTTCCAAGGCACCTCTGGGTGGGTTCAAACTGCCAGTCTTTCAGTTAGTAGTCAAGTACTTAACCATTTGAGCCACCCAGAGACCCTACTATAATGGCCTGTCCCACGTATTCCTGACAAACAGCTTCAGGCTGAAGGAGGCCATTTCTAGGCAAAATGAGTTGTCAAGAGTCACTACAGGCTGGGAGTAGGAATCCAGTTTCAGAGAGCTCCTGGGAGATTGTGGACTTCCCCAGTTCACTCTGGAATAGAGTTTAGTTCCAACAGGGCTGCCAGAAGGAAAAAGCGCTATGCTCCCTTGCTTGTGACTCTACCATTCTTTCCCCTGGGGCTTGCCCTAACTTCCCTATTGCCATATCCCTTGCAGTTTAGAAATTTATCTTTAACAGAAAGTCTAGATTCAAACACTAGAGATTCCTCATGTCATGGAAGTAACCTGAATTTTGAGCAGACAGATAAGGGTTCAGATGTCAGCTCTCTCCATTTATCATCTATGTGACCTTGAAAAAGTGACTTAGCCTCTCTAGGCTTTGATTGCCTTAATCCCTACTTCATAAAGCTTTTCATTCATTCATTCACGCAACGAATAATTACTGAGTGCCTAATATGCCCTAGGCATTGTGCTGCATGCCAGGAAATTACCTTCAAGGAGCTTATATTCTGGTGGGAAAAATAGTTAAGTAAAAAAGTCAGTAACACAGAAAAAGAATTGTTTTGGCAGAGCGACATATAAGAATATCTGAGAGTACTAGCCCAAACTGGGACTGAGAGGTCTGGGGAATCAGGGATAGTGCTGGTGGAAACAAAGTGGTTTAGGGCTGCTGAGTAGAATTAAGTATCAGTTTCACCCTCAGACCTCCCCCAGATGCACAGTTCCCCAAAGTGACCTGCTGCCTCCTTCAGAAGTCCTCTAGAGAAAAAAGGAAAGAAGCAGAACTTTAACGCTTTCATGAACCAGGGGATAGATATGCCCGTGTTACACTTCTTCTACCCTTGGAGAGTTACTGGCAGGCATTTGAGCCCTTTAGTACATTCTGGCATCGTGACAGATACTGGTGCAACTGCTTAAAAAACAAGGAAGTCGGTCTGCACCACATTTGAGTGTTGAGAGCCATTTGTATGAGGAGATGCTTCCGGAAGAGTGATTGTGTGAAACTTTTGTGTCTTTTGGCTTCTGTACAGTGAGATAAGGCTTGCAAGTATGTTTACTATTTCCATTGTGTTATTGCGAAGGTACGTCGGTTACCAGCATTTGGAAATATTCAAGTAAATGAGTTATTTTTGGGGTGGAAACAGTTTGTGATGCACTTCCTGGGCCATGGGACTGATATGCCCCACGAGTGTGGTGTGCTTCATGGAACGTGGTACCGATAGGGCCTGCTGTAAATCAAACTGATAACAATTATATGCAGCAAGTGCAATGTGTATTTAGTATTTTTGTGTATTTTTGTAAAGTTGAGTAAGTGTAATGTGGAAGTGTGATGTGCCATAGGACCCATATATCCCACGTGTGTGATGTGCTTCAGGGAACATGGGATTCATATGTCCCGCTTGCCACAGTTGGCACCCCATTTTTTCAAATAATAAAAAAACTACCAACCAACAATGATTCAGCATCCATTCCATTAGTGAAAAAACATGCATCACCAAAAATTTCTAAAAAAAATAAAATAATTCACCCATCAGAGGGTTAAATAGGACCAGCCCTCCTGGAAAGACAGAAATTCTAGAGTTGAAGTCTTCACCCCTAGAAAACACTCTCTCAGCTGTCTTCTTTCTGAGAAGGAAAACTTGTGGGCAGACATGGAATTGCTCCAGCAAGGGGATCCATGGAGAAAAATCTATGTCAACCAGGGCCCCCCACTGCAGGGCACATGGTAGCGCATCTCCATGGATGGACGCCACCCCTCTCCCTCCCCCTCCGTTACACCTAAAGTCACCCTGAGGGGTCAGACCCATCGGCAAAACGCCCTGGGTGCCCCTCTTCTGCTGGCTGCAGCCGACACTGCAGAGCAGCCAGCAGGACCATAAGCGTTCCCGCAGCAGTAACCTGACTTGAAAAGCAAGCCACAAACCCCTGGCCTGGAGCCTGCTCTACTGCCTCGCTCCCTGGGATGCTTTCGAACTAGGAGAGCCTGGAGCTCACACCTGACTCAGGAGCAGACTCTCTGCCTCCCTCCTGGTGCCCATCGAAACCAAGGTCTGCAAGAAAGAAACATTGGGACTTAAACCCTCCTCAGCAGGGTTGCCAACTCTTGAAGCTTGGTATGTTCTAAAGTGCAAACAAGCCGCTGTTTAGTAATTATTCCCAAAGAGCCCTCGCTAGTTTGCTAAACTTTTTTTACTTTGCTTCACACAGATAAACTAGGATAGAGTGTTGTTGCTTATTTTATTTGGCTTGATAAAGCAAGGTTTTAGTTATGAGTGTGTACCTGTATCTCCATGTAGAGCTGGTTTCCACCCCTTCTGTCTCCTTTTCCATGGAGTCAGATGACCTCCACAAAGGAGGTCAGGGGTGTTTCTATGCTGCCATACCTCTGGACAGAGCTGTGGTGGTAAGAGGGCTGCCAACTGCCACACTCCCCAAAAATACAAGTTTTCCTCAAAATTTGCCCACCAAAGTAGTCAAAACCCATTCAAAAAAAAACAAAAACAAAAACAAACTTTAAAGCAATCTGAAAAGAGAGAAGTCTTTGCCATAACAGGTGAAGTGGGCCATCATAATTCATTTCCCCAGATGTGCCAGTTCTCAGGCTCACTGAGTCCCTCTTTGAACCATCCCACTGAGGTAAGTCATGTTGTTGTTGTATGTGTGTGCCACTGAGTCGAAATGTGACAGAGTAGAACTGTCGTAGGATTTCCTAGGGTATAATCTTTACAGGACCAGATCACCAGGTCTTTTCTCCCATGCAGCAGCTGGTGGTTTTGAACCACTGATCTTTCAGCTAGCAGCTGAGCACTTAACCATTGTGCCACCTTAAGATAAGTCATAGCAGGCATACTTAGGCTTGAACTTTTTTAAAGGACAGACAGGAGCACAGGGAGGTTAAGCTGTGTGTCGCTAGGTCCCAGTGCTCATCGCTAGAAGAGCCAAAGCTAGACCCAGATATTGCAAATCACAGGCCAGCATCACTGCCATTCAAACACAACCCCCATGAATCCCCCAGAGTCATACTCTGGGGAGAGAAGAAATTACACCAGGAGGTAGGGGATAAGAAATGGAAAAGACTTTCAGTTTCTCTTTAGACTGTTTAGATCTGCAAAGGCTGTATGGTGAAGTTTTTTTGCAAGAAAAGCGAAAGTGCACACAAGAAAATAATACATATACAGGCCCTGTAAGGGGACAAAAAAGGAAATGAAGTCCAGTGGGGAGAAATAAAATGGCCTGTTTCTCCATAGGCTTGTTAAGTACTTGTTGACCTCTTTCTCCCTTTCCCTAGTAATGACTCTTAAACCAGAGGAAGCTAAAAGGTTTTTGATGGGTTAAAAAGATGCCATCCATTTAAGGGTCAAGGCCTGGTGCTCTGGGCATCTGTCACTGGATTAACTGAATCAATTTAGAGTCTATGCTCTCTGAGCAGTGAGGAGGAGGGAATTGGCCCGAGGAACATCTTGATTCTATTAGTGGGTCTGGCTGCAGAGAAAAACCAGCCATTGTTTTCTTTGTTGGGTATGTGACCATCTCAGAAGAAGAGAGATGCCCGAGTGCCCTCTTTCACAGCACATAATGTAGGAGCCCTGGTAGCATAGTGGTTAGGTGCTTGACTGCTAACTTAAAAGGCTGGCGGTTTAAACCCACACAATGGCTCCACCAAAGAAAGATCTGAGGTTCTGCTTCCGTAAAGATTACAGGCTGTAAAGCCCTATAGGGCAGTTCTACCCTGTCACATTGGGTCACTACGAGTCGAAAATCAACTTGACAGCACCTAATAACAACAATAAAGGACAAACTCATACCCATTTTGTAAGCTAGTGATCCACGAGCATAGTTTTCCTATGTTGGAGGGCCTGATTTCGTTTCTGGTATAGCCCATTCTTCGTAACGCTGAGCCATGGTACAATAGGGTACTTTCTTCTAATGATGGATGTTTTGAGGTTAAAAGTCGTAGCAGAAAGATGTTCAAAGCTGCCTCTGGTCAAAATTTCAGTGGACTTGGAAATTGGCTGGATAAGACTAGGAACAAGTGTGTACAAAGAGAACCCAAAAAATTTCAGCACAAATGCAGTGAATGAGAACGCTGGATTAGGCTTGTGCTTGCATTGTAAAAAAAAAAAAGAAAAAATCCCACAATCAGAAATGTTCTTTGAAATGCAGAAGTGCTCATGACACCATATTAGCTGCTTTTCAAAGAAAATTACACAAACTGTGCTTTGAGCTGATAAGTGTTCAAAATATTCAGACATTTTCTTTCTTTTACCATTAAGAATAACAGTGGCATATAAATGATGGAGTGGAAGGGACATAATAACAGTCTTTATTGAGTGGAGTCCCTGGGTGGTGCAAGCAGTTAATGCGCTCAACTTCTAACTGAAAGGTTGGAGGATTGAGTCCACCCAGAGGTGTTTTGGAAAAAAGACCTGGTGGTCTACTTCCGAAAAGTCTGCCATTGAAAACCCTACTCTGACACATGTCAGAATTGACTCAATGGCAACTGGTTATTTATTGAGTGCTAATTATGTACTGGGTACCATTTTCAGCTTTTTATATGTGTTAATTCATTGATACAGCAGCCCCGTGAGAAAAGAGTTGTTGTTACAAAGATGAGAAAACTATGACACAAAGAAATTGATTTGCCGTGAATACACAGCCAGTAGTTAGTGGCAGGTGGTATGGTTTTGAAAACCAGGCTTTTAATTGTCCTCTGCATTGTCTTCCATAAGTAGGAAATGTTTAAAACAAACTATTTTTAAGTTCCAAAGAGTAACAGTGTGGCATTCTCTGGATTTACAATGCTGACCCCACCTATGCATAGGATGTAGGAATGCCCACCCCTTCGATGTACTGAAGAGGAAGAGACTTACCGAGTCAGGGCTACAAGTCAGGACTCTTGACTTCCAAGGCAGAGATCTTGCCCCTAAAAATGATGAACCCAAACAATAGAGAGGGAAGGATGATCATGAATCTTGATTACTTGAGACAAAAGCAGATGACATCTCTTCATAAGGTGCCTCAGAGCCTCTGTCGAGTTCTAAAGGCCTGGTGTGGAAACCACAGATTGTCAGTTCATCACAGAGTTAATTCCTATCTCATGGATACAGTCGACTTTGTGTATGTCTTATCTTCTCAACTGAAGTGCAAGCTCCTTAGAAATGTAAACATGTGTTAGGCATGTTGTCCTGTCCCTTTCCTATTAGCATAGGCTGTACAAAGTAGACACTCACTACTTGAATGGTTGGAAAGATCATTGCTTAAAATCCAAGGACCTTGCTTCTTCTTTATGCATGAAGTAAAATATATTGAATGCCTATCCAACTGATAATATGATGTCAACCCCCCTAACAACTTACATCTCTGTCTGTTGTTCCCTGTATCGGTTCTGCCTGAATAACTGAACCTCATCCAGGTGCACCTGATAAAAATCTCTTGGTGCACAGCTTGGCATTTCGTGTTGTGCACTCACATTTTAAACTCCACCCAGTTCAGGCCCTGCAGATGACCTTCTCGTGTCCTGCAGCCCTCACGACATGTGTTGTTATTGGTTCAATTGCGACTCACAGGGACCTAATGTGACAAAGTAGAACTACCCACATAGGGTTTCCTAGGCTGTAATCTTTACGGGAGTAGATCACCAAGTCTTTTCTCCCACAGAGCCGATGGGTGAGTTCGAACTGCTGACCTTTCAGTTAGCAGCCAAGCACTTAACCATTGCCCCACCAGGGCTCCTTTCAAGACGTATAGCAACCATTTTTATTTGCTGAAGGTATAAGGTATAAATACGCTTGGAGTTTCTGAGTGGTGCAAACAGTTAACATGCTTGGCTGCTAACCAAAAGGGTGGAGGTGTTTAAGTCCAACAAGAGGTGCCTCAGAAGAAAGGCCTGGTGATCTACTTCCAAAAAAACAGCCATTGAAAACACTATGGAGCACAGTTCTACTCTGAAACACATGCGGTTGCCATGAGTTGGAATCGACTTGATGGCAACTATTATTTTTTTCTTTTATAAATACACCTAGGGATTAGCGAGGGGCAGTCCTGCTTCTAGAAAGTGAAAGGAGCAGAAATGAAATAATGAAGTGAGGTATTTAGTTTGTATGTTTTGTTCTGAGCCTGACGATTACTGTCCATGAATCTAATCTTTTTATAGGAGAACACTTGTTGGTGTTTGGAAAGTGTACAGTGCCTCTTAGACTGCCAAGAATCCTTAAAGAAGTGATCGTTAACTTAACCAGCAGCTTGAAATAACTTTGTTCTCGCTCATAGGCAGGTCTTCATGGTGTGGTTAGAAAGAGCCCAGGACCCGAAATCACAAGACTGGGTCCTGACATCAATCACTTATTTAACCTCTGCAGTCCCTTAACCTCTCTTGACTGGAGTTGCTTTGTCTGTGAAAGGGGGCGGCTGGGCCAGATGGCTGCTGTGATGCTGTATTAATGGCTCCCCGAATGAGGCAGGAAGTTACTCATAGGGAGGTCATTAAGGGGCTTGGTGACTCACCCTCAGGGTCAGGAAGAAGACAAGGCTCCCTGAAGCCCTGGTCAAGAATTAGAACCCCTAGACGGAGCTTCCTCTCCAGCCTTTGAGGCCACACCGACCTGAGAGACTCCCACCACCCCTCATGCTATCCCGGCACTCGGCAAATGCTTGCTGGGGAGCCAAGTTCCCTTTCTCTGTCTCTGCTACCTTCACCCACTCCGAAAGAGCAGGGAGGATTAGCCCTTTTCTGTCCCAACCACAGGATGTGGGAATTCACGCAGACCCGCTAACAGGAACTAGTGAGCAGGTCCTGCTCATTAAGTATTTATAGCGTGCCCTGTTGCACTCACGGCTCGGACAGGGTATTTATTAGCTACTCTTCTATGCTCCCTGTGGGATGAACATGTTCCCATCTCCTGTTTTATACATTAGGACATGGAGGCCCAGAAAGGAGAAGTGAAGGGCCTGTGATCACAGTGGGAATCATTTAAGTCTAGGTCAGAAATGAAGAATTCACATCTAGTGCCAGCCATAGTCCCAACCATGGTGACAGACCCTGGCTCAATAAAGCCTCTTCTTGATGGCTTCTCTGAATTTTCAATTTTCAGTGCAAACTATTAAGGTTTTTGTTAATCATGATTACTGCGGTTGTTAGTCGTTGATTGAAAGCCACTGACTACACTTTGTGAAGAAAACTAGAGGAAGCCAGGTCTCCAAGAGAAGGAGTTCACACTCCTTGTCACTGATAGTAGAAAGGAAGAGAAGAGCCATTATACAGGACTAAAAAGTTCTGATTTTATACTTCCTACTTGCAGCTACATTGTTGCTCGTTTGTAAAAATCATTCCAACTTTTAAAGTTCACTACCCATTAGTGAGTAAGAGCTGTTCCCACTAATTGGAGAACTCCTGTGGAGGGGAAACACAGTTAGAGGTTAGAGTAATGGACCAGGTGCCCTTGACTTCTATTCCTGGTTCCTTGGCTAACTTGCTGTGTGGCCTTAGGCAGTTTTCTCTAATTTCTCTGGGCCTCAGAGAAGAAAATTTCCCATTAACTCTTGTTGGAGGTTGTCAGAAGATCAAAGAAAAGACCTTTGCAGGGCTTATTAAAGAGGCCCAGATGAACTGCATTAGAAAGACCTCGATTTAATAGATATTAATTAATAAATCCTTTGATTATTGAGGAGCCCTGGTGGCACAGTGATTAAGAGCTCAGCTGCTAACCAAAAGGTCAGCAGTTCAAATCCACCAGCCACTGCTTGGAAACCCCATGGGGCAGTTCTACTCTGTCCTCTAGGGTCACTATGAGTTGGCATCAACTCCACAGCAGTGGGTTTGGTTTTCTGGTTTTTGGTTATTGACAGAATTGCCTATTTTAGCTTTTGATTAGCTCTTTGGGCATAACTGACCAAAGAAGTCATGCAAAATCCTCATGGATCAGCCCATTCGTAATGACAATCAGGTGTGCATCTGCTGTGTCCCACATTGATGTCTGTTCCTGGTGACAGGGTCCTGGCGACTGCACCGATGGCCAGACTAGGCCAGGGAGGCGGCTGCCCAGAGTGATACAGACAACACAGCAACCAGCTGAGTCAGAGCCTGGCTCAGGAAGTTCCCAGTGTGAAAAGGGGAGGCAGGGTCTAGCATCTTTGTTTACTGGCTTGTTTTTATGCTACGAACCAGCTGCAGAGGTGGGGTGTTTAGCAGGCACTTAAACTGTAGGGCACCAGGGCACTGTGGGCAGAAACACTCTAGACCCCCGTGAAGAGCACATATCTCTACAGCAAGCTCCTGTGGCCCTGTCTACAAATGGCCCTTCTCCGTCAACTGGGGCCGCTGCCCCCGCCCCTCTCTTCGTTGCCCCTCTTTCATACTCCTGCTCTCCAATTTGCCCAGCCACCTCTATCTCCCCTAAATGTAGAGGAAAGGATCAAGCCAGCATTCCTAGATGAGAACCTTCTCTTAGGTTCCTGGGGCTTTCAAATGTCCGATGGAACAACCCTATCCTGAAAAACTGCCCATTCATTCCACTCACTCCCACCCTCCCTTCTGGGTATTTCATTTGCAAAAAAGGCTCCTGCTTAGACTAGACATCACGGGAAACCTACTGCTTTGCACCCTGTAACAAAAATGTCTACAGACAGTCATCCTACGGAGAGATGCTGGGAGCCAGGACTTCAGGGTTCAGCACCAAGAGCCAAAGTCGCGGGCAGAAGCTTCCCACTGGCAGCTGCAGTGGCAGTGGCGGTGGAGAGGCCCGCAGCACAGCCCAGATGGTTTTGTTTGGGCCTGTTGGCAGATGCAGGGCTCTCCACACTGACCAGCATCAGGGGGCACTTAAAGGAAGGCTTGGTTTGTGTCTGATTTTGCAAGGAGTTGGGGGAGGGGGGAGTTGCCAGGGAACCAAGTGCTCTCAGCATTCTGCTCTGGGGGGTTTTCATCAGGCAGGGAGGGGCTTCAAACGAAAGGCACAAGTGAGGTTTGCTCAAACATGATCATACCACGTTTTGCTTTCTTTCCTCCTGGCTGAGAGGAGAAAGCTCTTGGATGGCTTGGGAGGCCAACCTCCCTGGGGGTGGACACCTTACCCCAAGTGCTGCTGAGCCCAAGAGGGAGCTCACCAGCACCAGCAGCTCTTCTAAGGCCAGGACCAGTTACATAATTTGCAGGACTCAGTGCAAAATGAAAATGCAGGGCCCCGTGCTCAAACGTTATTAAGAATTTCAAGATGGTGACACCAGAGCATTAAAGCCAGCATGGGGCTCTTCTGAGCACGGGGCCCTGTGCAACTGCACAGATCACATACCCATGAAACTGGCCCTGTCCCAGGTGGGTATAGGAGGGAGGCTGCACAGAGTCCAGCATCTAACATCCACCCCTTTCTTTGGAGGAAGGAGAAAAGAGGGAGAATAATTTTGTACACTTACTTAAAGATTCCCTCCAAATTCTCTTTTTAAATATCAAATTCTTTTTTAAAACTCCAAGGTCAGGACTTGAGTTAAGAAATTTAAGAAAAGAATTATTTTGGTGGTTCTGGAGCTACCGTCTTTATTTACCAGAACTTGGGAGAATAATTAGGAATAAAAGTAAGATCTAACATTCACTGAGTACTTAACTTTGTGCCCGCACTGCACTAAGGATCTGTTGCTGCTAAGATAGTTTACTTCCCACGTGCATGTTACCTACCCAAGAGGGGCCATTATTGCCGATTTGCTGATGGGAAAGCTGAGACATAAGGCAATGCTGTAACTTGCCTGAGGGCAAACATCTTAGCAGTAGGGGAGACTAGATTCAAACTGATACCTTTATAGACTCCAAAGCCTGTGTGCCTGACCACTTTGTTTTGTTCACTACCTCTGGATCATGGTGCCAGTGTCATGGAGTCTGTTAATTGTGGTGCTTTTGTGACTGTAGGTAAGTTCAGGTGGAATATCTATAAATATCTAACAAAACCAGGAGTCAGAGAGAGCTTTGGGTGTTTCCACTGTAGGATTTAGAGTAGCAGAGTATCAAATAGGAGAATCAGACCCAGACCTGTGTATTTGAATAGTTCAGGCTCTAAGGCATCATTTGATCTGCGACAAGACATAAAGCCGTGTAAGCCAGTGTAGGACTTTGGGTCATTTGCTTACCTTGAAACGTCTCTTCACCTTCTTGGAATGGAGGAAGAAAAGTACAGTGTTCCTTGAGCTTCAGAGTGAAATGAACTCCGAGCTGCAGACAAAAGAGGTAGCTCTATAATAAGACATAATAAATGTCCTCCTCCCTGTGACTTACATAAAGAAAATAATTTTAAAATTCCACGGAGCAGGTCGTGAAGATAAAAGAATGCAGCCATTCTAGACGCAATTCTTTATTCCAGCCCAGCTTTCCTTGGGGTGGAGTCCTTTGGTCCAGCGTTGCCTAGGAGCACCCTGGACCTGGGAAGGTGGGGTCAGTCTGAGGCAGGGAAAGTGCCAGTGAAGTCTTTAAAGCGGGGAAAACCAGGATCTCTGGATGCCAGGACTCTGGGTCTGAGATGAGACCCCACGATGCATATGCCTCAACTGAGTGAGCAAAGAAAAGGGGGACCCCAGGGAGGAATCAGTCATTCCCAGGGGAAATGGCAAGAACAGGAGTCCTGTTCTGCTCTTTTCAGCAACATAAACTCAAATTATAAGTATATCGAAGGTGATACAACATTCACCAAATATAAATATATGTGTATTTGTATATAACTGCAACTTTTTTTGACATTTCCCAGAGGGTTAAGTAACTTTCTCTTTCGTCCATGAAAGAAGCTCCATTCCTAAAGTAGTTGAAGCAGCCCTAAAGACTTCCAAACGTTACCGTCAGTCCTAGTTAGCTTGTTCACTAGGCTGAAGGAGGAAGGACCACTAGGGCCTGAGGGAGCCCAGTGGGCAGCAGCAGAAGCTCTGTTCACGGTCCACTTTCCAGAACTGCTTCCATCCCACTCCTCACCCTCCCCACCCAAGCCACAGCAGCCTCTAGCTGGGGTGTCCATCCAGCAACACAGTTCTTAACTTTCTTTGTGCTGCAGAAGGAATGGGCTTGACAGGCTCACATTGTTATCTCGAGTTGCCTACCCCCGAAATAAGGTCAGGGCAGCCTCCGCCCTGCGAGCTGCTCAGATCGCCAGGGCGAGTCCGAGGCGCTTACACATTAGTGGGCAGGAAGTGGAGTGCCGATGGGAGGCTGGGAATTTGAACGCCTTCCCATTTCAGCACTCGGGAGGAGGAAGCTCAGTTCAGCACTACACGCAGATGGCTACTGCTGCCTCCTGAGAGCGCCTCAGCTCTCGCTCCCTCTCCTCCTTGCCCGCCGCCCGCCCTCCTCTCTGCTCGCTCCCCCTCACTCCCCCTCTCCTTGGAGGGAAAAGTCTGCAACGCTAGGAACTGTCTTGGAAAATTAAACAAAGGCAAGCCAAAGGGGAACGACTTGAAAAGAACTTGTTTTGTTCCCGTTAAGAGACCTGCAGGAAAATCCACACCCACGTTGTCCAGTTTTGAAGTGGCAAGTGTATGTGTGTGTGTGTGTGTTTCAAGCAAGAAGCAGAGGAGGCACAAACAACTGTATGTCTCTGCTTTGATAAGGAAACTGCTGGCCATAGAAGTTAACCAGCAAAGGAAGGAATACAGCCTTGAACCACCCGCTCCTCAACTTAAACTGCATTGTTTTCTGTCCAGATATTCCAATGGAGACAGCTGGAAAACCTGTATTTCAGAGAAAAGAAGTTTTCAGTGGAAGTTCATGACCCACGCAGGTAAGCTAGCAAAAGTCTCCTTTTCTTATCCGAGTGCATGGAACTTACAGGGTTCTAGCCTGGCATGTCGTTTACAGTAATATTTTTGTGCTGTCATTGTTCCTGTTCCCTTTGCTGGGGGTGGGGAAGGGGAATTAGTTGATCATCGAGAATAGAGTTCAAATCAAACAGTAAAGCTTTGTTTTGTACTGTTATATGTTGATAAATACAGTGGGTTCAAGTGTGTGAGACAGATTAGCAATTCCATGACCTTGTCATCTGACTGCATGAGTTCCATGCTCCTGTGTATGGAGCTGTCTTCCATGCTGCTTGACAGAGTTTCTGAGTGTTTCAGGTGGGACGAGCAACATCAAGGGGCTCTGCAAATGAAGCAGTTGTGCAAAATGCTTTTATTCCACCAGCTGTAAATTTAGGGTGTTAGAGTTGTGGGTGAATGTGAAAGAAATACAATTATTTTTCTTTCCCCCCACCCCAACATTATATCCCAGAGAGCATTAATGTGAAAATCTATGCTCTCTAAGCCAGATGCCAAACAATAGAGTCCCCATGTGGAATGCAGCAAGCCTTTCGTGGAGGGGACTCTGGGCAGCTCGTACCATTGCTTTCCCTCTCTTTGTCTGCTAGCGGTCCTAGAAGTAGATGCTATCATAGACAGCAGCAAAATTCCCTACAAACAGGCCCAACACCTGGACTTTAGATAGGGCCATACGCGGATTTACAAGAGCGTAGCCCTGGGAAGACAGTAGAAAGATCAGACTTTGTAAAGAGCAAAAGTGGATTTTAGAGAGTGTTGACACTGGGCCCTGGCCTTGGAAAGGAGCCTAGCACAAGCTCCACCCCACAAATGGCTTCTGAGCATCTCAGAACAAGCTGCTGTGCCTCCCAGGGAGTTCTCAACCCAAGAGCGACACGTTGCCCTCCAGCAAGTGGGTGCAGGCCCGTGCAGTATAATCTCTGTCCCTGTAGCAAGAGATAACCCAGCAGGTTGACAGGATGCTCACACCATGTAATCTGCATGAAATAGCCACTCCATCTGTAGGGTTAGAGCTTATCTCATGCTGCACAGCTGACTGGAAGACCAGCAACCAGAAAACATTTAGAGACTCTATGTCTCTGCCATCAGGCAGAGGCAGTCGCATTAAGCAGAAGAAGAACTTCTTTAGCATTTCTTGGCGTCCTCTGAAGGGTTTCCAGGTCCAAAGACCCCTGCCTCTGCAGAGCAAGAACCCATTTGTGCAGGCCAATAGGGGAGTGACACACGCCGAAAACAATATTCCAACCAAAAAGGAACTCAGAGTTATTTCCCCAGGCGAACTGTTTGCGACCAGGTTCTGAGGAGTATGTATGAGAGGAGGGAAAACTTAAGAGTGAAAAGAGCAAAATGAATTTCACCATGATGAGTCAGATGCAGAAAGGGAATGTTCAACAGAAAAAAGTTGAAAATTGGGTCATCTAAAGGGGTGAGCATAAAGATGGACAGAATCTCCATATCTGGGCTCTGTTGAGAACCATGCTAACTCACAGGCACCTTGGACAAATCCTTAGAGAGCGTGTGAGCAGGCACTCACGTGTGTGTGTGTGTGTGTGTGTGTGTGTGTGTGTGTGAGAGAGAGAGAGAGTGCATGTGAGAGAAACCGTGTGTGTGAGAGTATGAGTGTATGTGTGTGAGTGTGTGTGAGAGTGTGTGTATGTGAGTTGATGTGTCTATGTGTGTGTTTTCTCTGGGTCTGTTACCCTATCGCTGATGTAATATAAGTTTCCTTCTCTTTCCCAAGATCCAGGGATATAGGAAAGGGTACTAACCTCACATAACTGGTTACCATCAAATCGGCCCCGACTCATGTGTGTCAGAGTAGAACTGCACTCCATGGGGTTTTCAATGGCTGATTTTTTTTAATAGATTGCTAGGCCATTCTTTCGAGGCACCGCCGGATGGACTCAAACTTCCAACCTTTTGGTTAGCAGCCAAGCATGTTAACTGTTTGCACAACTCAGGGGCTTCAAACCTCACGTATTACTATTAAATGGGCTTTTTAGCTTTTAAAACAAAAATGATCCACATCATATTTGTTAAGTGGCTTCTACATTAGATGCAGTAGGGTATAGAAAGAAGTCTGAAACAGGCTGTTCTGCCCTTAAAGAGCTTCTAGTGTAGTTGGGGAGACAGGCAGGAGAAGGAACTTAACATTTATTGAGTGTTTATCATGTTCTAAACACTTTATACACATTATCTCATTGGACCCTCACCATAACCCCAGGAGATAGGTACTGCTATTATTCCTATTCTACGTTGGGAAACCGAGGCACAGAGATATGAAGTAACCTGCTGTCTGTTACAGATAGCTAGTAAGTTGTAGAGCCAGGATTGGAACCCAGAAGTCTGGCTGTAAAGCGCACTTTCCTTACCTTTACACTATACGCAAGGCAGTGTATACTAAGTACCAAATGGCACAGACCATAAATGCTGAAAGATAAGGTCACCAGGGGCCAGGCTTGTCAAGAGAGGCTGAGGAGGAGAGATCTGAACTGAACCTCAAAGGGTGACTAGGATTTAAAGAGATGAGACGGGCCCTAGGTGGGCAAAGATGTCAGGTGATGTTCTTCAAGTGAAATAAAGAGATGAGAGAGTGTCTGAGTAGAGAGAAGGGAGAAGGAGGATCCCAGAGGCCACCTGAGCAGAGGAAATGATCATCCCCCCTCCCAGACAAAGTGGCCCTAAGTCCCTCATGTTACTAGAAACAGGTAGGTTAGGGAGAGGAAAGGCAGGTAGAAAGGCCCAGGGAAGGTGACTTACCTCGTGTCAAAGGTGAAACCCAAGTTGACTACAGCTTTAAAGACGCCTTTTCCAAATGTACATTGAGGCAAGGAAAGTGAATTTGCTAAGGCTGACTACTTAATTTAGCTGTCCCTCGTGGTGCAAATGGTTCAGTGCTCAGCTGCTAACCAAAAGATTGGCAGTTTGGATCCACCCAGAGACACCAAAGCAGCAAGCGATCTTTTCACTGCCTCATGTTGCTTTCAAGATTAAACGTGTCATCCAATTGCTTGCTGCCTTGTTTCTCTGAGCAGGGAGGATTAATCTAATTGACTGTATGTTGGGATGGTGTTCAGGGGTCAGTCCCTCCCTCCAAAAGAGGAAGGGAGCCAGAACCAAGTAGTAGGATGGGAAGTGCCAGATATAATCATTTAATTAAGATGTAATCAGTGGGAAATTGTGATTACAGGGGAATCAGTCAAGGCAAAGAGTGTTTTCTGAGCGGATTGGTCACGTTTGATCACACCCCTTCTTGTCTTTCCATGAAGAGCACAGAAGATGCTGTAGAATTGTTCTCGTAAACGTCCTAACTTAATGGCTACATTTGTTTTTGGGGTTCTTTGTTGTTATTGTTGTTGTTAGCTGCTGTAGAGTCGGCACCCAACTCATGGCGACCCTGTGTACAACAGAACAAGCTGTTGTGATCCACAGGGCTTTTGTTGGATGATTTTCAAAAGTAGATCACCAGGCCTTTCTTCCTAGTTCATCTTAGTCTGGAAGCTCCACTGAAACCTGTCAGCATCATAGCAACACATAAGGCTCCACTGACAGATAGGTGGTGGCTGCACTTGAGATGCATTGGTCGGGGATCAAACTTGGGTCTCCCACATGGAAGGTGAGAATTCTACCACTGAACCACCAAGCCCTCCTTTAGAGTTGGCAAATATTCAGTTTCTAAGGCCAAGGCAAAATAGAAAGGTTGGTGGGGTGGGAAGGGCCTGAAGGGAAAGATTAGTGGAAGAAATAAATTAGTAATGGATCCAGGGGAAAAACTCTCAGAGTATATGATTTAGATGTTCCTAGGGAACCACCCAGACCTGACAAGCCTCTCAACTCATCCTCACTCCCCTTACCTGAAAAATGTCAGCGCCTAGCTTCTTAAAACTCTCTCCCTTTACCAAAATACATTTCAAGTTACTTTTCCTTTCGAATTCAACTTTTTAGGGGAAAAAAAATAGCTTACTCCCAGGAGCAACAATTGCTGTGGAAGCCTAACTGGACGTTCAGATCACTGATGCGTTTTAAATCTATAGAGACCCGGGAGGGGGAGATTCCTCCTCATTTCTCTCTGGCCCCCTTTTAGTTATTTTCTTTCAACTGTGTGCTCTTTCATGAGCTGGCATTTTTTTTCCCTTAACTTTTGTTTTAACCAAAGCAGAGGAATACCTGCCTAGAATCAGTATCATGAACGAACCACCAGATTTGAAGTCCTCCTTAAAAAACCAAACCCATTGCTGTCGAGTTGATTCTGACTCATAGCGACCCTATAGGACAGAATAGAACTGCCCTGTAGGGTTTCCAAGGAGCAGCTGGTGTATTCGAACTGCCAACCTTTTGGGTAGCTGCTGAATGCTTAACCATTGGGCCACCAGGGCTCCCCTCTTTAAAAGTATATGAAAAAGACCCCACTGTTAAAGCCTTAGCCACCAAAGTAAGATAATAGGAATCACTTTAAATTTTCTTTAAGGAAAAATTTGTCCTGAAAAAATGCCAATATTCACAAGTCCTGATTGCCTCAAGTTTCTTCCAAATTAGATATCTCAATCTCAAGAACACGTGAACATTTTTCAGCTGACGTATAGTCCACTTACCCCAGGCCTCACCCCACTCCCCATCAGCTTGTCCTACACGCATGTACACACACACACACACACACACACACACTCATACTTCACTTTCTAAATAATCCACTTATTCTATAAAATATACTTCACTGAGAACACGATCATGTAACTCTTTCTTCTTCCCTGACTTCATTAATCTGGTGAATTATGTTGGGACCTGTGTTCTCCATTTTTAAAGTCTGTTGCGTCTTTCTTTACTACATGTTGAAATCAACATATATGCAGAGGTTGAAATGGGAGGCGGGCAGAGATTGGTGGCTGGGCTTATTTCTTTCTGCTCTGCCCTCTGAATAGATTAGAAATCAATAGCCACATCTTCCAAGGAACATTGAGTTAGAGTACTGTAAGAAGTCAGGGCTTCCTCAGGTGCTGTGGCCTATGGCAATTAGAAAAATATTAACTCATCCTTCACCCTAAGCAGCATTGCCTTGTTAATGAAGGACATTGTCAAAGGCTTTTTCTTGTCTCTGAAGTTTGTGTTGGCTCAATGCCCAGGAGCTGAAGATCAGTCAGGACCATCCAGTGACCTAGAATGACCCATCTTATCCCAGACAAGGCAGGGGCTGGACCAAATCCTGACCCCTGAGGAGTTAGTAAATAACTCCAGTTTCCCTGAGCACACATGTGAGTGTGTGTGTGTGTCCCTATATTTGTGTGCGAGCTGATTTGTTACCTTCACACCAGTGGGTTCTCAATAAAAGCCGTTGGCTCATAAATGGACTTTCTTGGCAAATATGGTTGAACCTTCTGATTCTTGCCTCCCCAGGGCTTCGGTGACAAGAAGGACGTTTGGACACAGCGGCATTGCAGTGCACACGTGGTATGCATGCCCAGCATTAATCAAGTCTATTTGGGCTATGGCCATTAGCCAACACCAGTTCTATCTGGACAGAAAGCAGAGTAAGGTAAGTCCTTCCCTGGGATTGGGAGGGACACCATGGTGACCAGGCCTTTCACCAAGCTGTTAGCTCACCTGAGGGCAGATTAAGGCCATTCTGTGACTCTCATAGTTTAGAGATGCAGAACTGAACGGGTAGGGGAGGCATTGTGTCCCTTGCCTTGAGATGCACACAGGTGCTTACTTGCCTTTGGGGGCTGTAGGTGGGAGGAATGAGATTAGTTCTTCAGGAGGGCAAGTTCGACGAATCCTGCTGAAGGAGGTCAGACCCAACCCCAATCAGAGCTGCCCAGGCCATTGACTATAGGGCTGGTTGAGGAATTCTGACCATGTTTTGGACCGTTAGGAAAGTCTCCTAGGAGCAAACAATCAAATGCTTTTTGGAGTTTAAACAGTAGCAGAGTGTTTTCTTTTTGGGAAAAAAAAAAGTTTTTCAACCAATAGCACCTAACTGTTTAGGATAATTGCTCTGAAGCCTCCAGGCTTTTCCAACTGCCAATTCTATTTATAAAAAATGCAAAACTGGAGAAGTAGAAAAAAAAAAAAAAAAAGAAAGTTTAACAGCCCGGTTTCCCTAAGGTAGACTTAGAGCCTCAGGCCTTGGTTAACAGTCATCCTTCTTGAGAGATTTTACGCACCCCCAATTCAGACCCACACGGCTGCATTTTCTGGTAGGTGGGAGAATGACGTCTCCTTGGTTCACACACAGCTTGTATCAACACTCAGCCCCCTCTTCCTCCTGCCTTGTCTCCCAGCCTCCCCTTTCCTTCTCCCCGCAAGCCACTCCCATTCATTATCCCTCAAGTAAAAAGCCATATCAAGATGGGCCCTGCACCTTTCTCAGGATCCTGCTGGCTTCGAGGGTGGTGGAAATATACAGTGAGACAAACCTTGGCAGCTGGGCTAGTTGGTACCACCACCCATGTGAGATTTTCTCCTATTATGTGAGTTCTGTGGAGGACATGGCAGGACCCAGGCTTACTGGGCCCGAAAGTCACTGGCTGAGTGCCCTCTTGAGCTCTTGGGGCTTTGTCTTTTGCTATATTTTCCTTTTGAGTGGAGTTGTCCTTTCCTGGGCATTGAAGGGAAAGTAGGGGTCAAGTGAGAGGTAAGAGAAAGATAGTTAGAAAACAGGGGAGGAAGAAATGAAACAATGACTCGGGTTATGATACAGATTTAAATCAGGGCCTTTCACATGTGGTAGGCACTGTCTTTGTAACACATTCTCTCCTCTACTAAATCTTCTTCCCGACCCCTTTTTTGATCATTATCTCGAGTGAATAAGTACAGGGTGGAATATTTTTGTGGTTAGAAGAGAGGGCATTCTACAGCTCTGCTAGTGATGACGAGCATCAGCCCAGGAATTTGAAGCCCAATTAGATCAAAGGAAACAGGGCCAAAGTGTTTTGACTCATGCTTTATATTGTAAGGAAACCCTGGTGGCGCAGTGGCTAAGAGCTATGGCTGCTAACCAAAAGGTCAGCAGTTCAAATCCACCAGGCGCTCCTTGGAAACCCTATGGGGCAGTTCTGCTTTGTCCTACAGGGTCGCTATGAGTCCGAATTGACTCTAAGGCAGTAGGTTTGTTGGTTTTTGGTTACATTGTAGGCTTTGGATGGCTGTCAACATTTTGGTCTCCAGTGACAGGAGTTGGAGGTCAAAACCTTAGAACATTAATTTCATCCTCTGTATTGTTCAGTGAAGGAATCCCAGTGGTGCAGTGGTTGAGTGCTTGGCTGCTAATCAAAAGGTCAGCAGTCCGAACCCACCAGCCCGCTCTGGGAAGAATGTGACAGTCTGCTTCCATAAAGATTTACGTCCTTGGAAACCCTATGAGCCAGCTCTACTCTGTCCTGTAGGGTCGCTATGAGTCGGAATCGACTCAATGGCAGTGGGTTTTTTTGGGTTTATTGTTCAGCGATGGGTAGTGAAGGGCAGATAGCTTGGCAATCTTCCTGAACCCCAGTGCCAATTCCTCTGGTGGGCAGACCTCACACACACTGGATACCACAATTTTGAAAGGGGGAAAGAAAAAGTGTTTTTGACTCTAAGGGTAGTATGACATTAGCTGTTTGAACTCCTCCTCACTATGCTGGCTTTATGCACAGAGCCTCTCCAGGGTGACGCAGGAGGCCTGTTCTTAGGGCTCTTTAGCCCCATTCTCTAAGATGGTCTTACTCTGTATTTGGAAAGGTTTATTCAACAGGCTTACAGGTCAAACCACTGATGCAACAAGTTAACCTAAAAAATTTTCAAAGATCACTTATTAACAAGAAATGTCTTTTAAGAGGCTAAACGGAATGCCCACAGCAATAGGAAAATTCAGCTGCCCTCTCAGTAATCCCTGGGAGACAGAAGGAATGCACACACTCCCACGAGGATGAGAGCTTTTCCCTAGGACATCTGGAATGCTCACAAATGCTCCAGAGCCCTTGCGTGTCTCAGAGGAACCGATTCCTCCACCTGCAGTAGCAGGTGAGGAACAAGCTCCCCTATTTGGAAGCTGGAAGACGCTGCTTTCCAGCTCTATGACCTGGGCAAGTCTTTCACTGCTTGTGCTTTGCTTTCCCCAGTCAGAGAACAAGAAAAGACTTTCCTGACCTACACTACTGTTGGTTTAATGGCATAATGTTTATGAAATTGCTTTAGGAAATAGGTGCTATCTTTTATTATTATCCTTATTAATCTAACATACTATTAGCTGGCCAACACTTGAATAAAGGTTATATTCTCTACAAAAGGGCCCCAAATTAAGTCAGAGGTGATAAAAAATTTTCCCTTAGGAATTGCATTACAACACCTTTCTTTTCTGGAATGTCAGTCTTTATATAAGGTGTTGAGAGCCATCTCCAGTGGGCAGAATGGCCTCTGGGTGAGTGATGACCGACAGGCCCAGGAGGAAAAGCTTCTAACTCTTTCTGACAGCCAGTGTTGGCTAGCATACTGGTCATTGCTTCACACTCTGCTGAACGGTGCCATGCCAACCATTCCTTTCTCTGAAGTGCTTCAGCAAAGCCCAGGCCTCCCAAGTGATGTTTATCAACCCCAGAGAGACAAGTGTGGTCTAGTGGTTTGAGTCAGCAAGCGGGGTAGCCAAGTAGTCTCATGTTCCTTCCCTGGCACTCGGTTATTTTCTTCTTTCATCGTCATTGTGCAAATCATTTAAAAGAAAACCAGTCTCTCTCTGTCTCTGTCTGTCTGTCTGTCTCTCACATCATCAGCTCCCCCCTGCATTTCCATCAGGGGACCATTCCATCACCAAGGACTGAGTGTATTAGTTGGTTTCCTTTTGCTCATTCAGAATGAGAGGCTGTGCAGGCACCACTGATAATTGGTGACTTATATATGCTGTCCCAAAAGATCAGAAATGTCGTCAGTTAGATCCCAGCAACCTTTGTAGCCCAGAGCCAGGGAATGGTTTGTGGACTTTGGAGGAAAATATTTGAAAGCTCAAATTGTTTAGAGTAAACATTAGACACTTATCCTCTGAAATCAAGGTGGGGACGTCTTGAACTGGCTCCCAATCCAAAACTCTTTCCTTCTTAATCTCTCTCTCTTTTTTCTAATCCAGTCTGATATTCTTCATTCTGACTAGAATCAATAGCAAAGTTAGAATGGAAGGAGACAGCTAAACCTTGTTCACAGAATAGCAGTAATAAAACTGAGTTACGTTTATAGGGCAAGGCCCTCATAGCAAGGCTTGCAGACGCCTTCTGGGTAGGCCCAGAGAGTTGACTTTACAAGGTGAGAATCTCCCATCAATACTCATTTCTTCTTAGCTCTCTCTCTTCAACGAAGTTTGTTAAGTCATCCTGATATTTCCATTCCAGAGAGAATCAGATAGTACCCTAAAGCTTCTAAGAATTTAGTCTCTCTTGGAAAGCAGGTCTGTTGCTATCCTTTCCATATGTCTGAGATTGATATGTGGAAGGAGTGGAGGTGGGGTAGGGGCAGGTCTTCTGTGTGTTTAATGAAATCTCCATAATAACAGCCATCAATCTAATTTCATTTAGCAAATTACTACCAGGCCCCAATTTATATCTTATCCCTATCCCAGTCTCAGTGGCCTTTACATGTGTTATCTCAATCCATCCTTATCACAACTCTGTGAAGTGGGTTTTAAGATTCCCATTTCACAAACAGGAATCTGAGTATCAGAGAGGGTAAGGATCTTGCCCAAGGTCAAACAGTGATTAATTGGAAGGAACCAAGATTCTAATCTGCGTCTTTCTGACTTCAAAGCCTGGGCCCTTCACCACTCTGCTGTGTATTGGTCGATGTGTCCATGAGTTATTATTACATAACTATTGATGGGGGTGCTCCTTTTCATTAAAGCATTGGCCACGGTAAAAGAATAGCGCTGAAAGAAAGGAAGTAATGGATTGTGCTTGCTATGCTTGCTTGGAGAGTAAAGCTCAACCAGATGGGTGCCATTGATATGCTGTGTCAAAATGAAATAAAAGGCCTTCCTGCTTTCTGCTGCAAGCCAGAACGTTGAGAGGGCCTGGAAGCTGAGATTATTTCATGAACAAGGAAGCCCTCTCTTGAAGTTGGCTGGGTTCTGAATGCAAGGAAAAAAGTTGAGGTCAGAAAGGAGACATAAGTAGAGGGAGGACCAGTGGGATGGAGAGGGTGAAGAGGAAGCCAGTTCATACCGAGGTGAACAAAACAAGCAAAAACGGTCAGCATTCCTTCTGTCCCTCTGAATTTCACCATGTTAACGTGAGGAGCGGGCACAGCAGTCAGAAGTCGTCATTCACCAACGGTGACAACAATGTCTAGGCCAGAGAAAGGGCAAAGTCACAGGTGTTGAGACAGCAGCCTGTGCTGGACAGCTGAAGGCACCAGGGCTGGCTCCTGGGCTGGCACCTGGGCACAGAGGAAGACTGTAAATAAGGGACAGCAGGGGCAGTAGAATACGTACCCTCCATGCCCTTCATAATCTACCCCTGTACCTGTTTTCTCCTGTGCATGGGAAAGATCTTGTCTCACACAGGCCAGACGTGGTGTTGTTGAGTTGATTCCAACCCATTGTGACTCCATGTGATAAAGTTGAACTGTCCTGTAGGGTTTTCTGGGCTGGAAGGAGACCTGTTGGCACAGGTCTTTCTTCTGCAGAGCTCCTGGATGGGTTTGAACTGCCAGACTTTCAGTTGCAGCTGAGCACTGAACCATTGCACCACAGGGCTCCTTGAACAGCACGTGAAGTGACTGGAAACCTTAACTGTAACCATGAACTAGTTCTATCTGTGTGCATGCTGTAGCCAGTGGCCACAGAAAGACAGATTAGCAGATGTGTAGTTAATGCTAACATTTGTAATTGTTTTCACAAAATTCATGGTATAGGTAAAGGCTTTTTCCTTAAGTACTATTGCAAAAATTGATTTCCTGGGGTGGGGGAAGTACATGTCAAACACACTTGTAGGAATGCAAATAATTGTTCCTGAAGATGATCACTAAAGCAGAGCGTTCTACTAAAGACAATTACTCTTAAGAATATAGTTGTAAATACAGAATCCTGTGCGAATTATTCTGACCTGCTGTGACTATTAGTCCAAATTGGGCCAACGAATAGGTGAAATAAACGGAAAGGAGTTTTAACCACAATATGAAGATTTTGGCATAGACAGATATCAAAATAGAAGCAAAGCACTTACCACTGGGACCTGGGTATCCAAATCAATAGTTGTTTCAGAGGCTTCTATACGTGTATACACTATGATTGCATGACTAGAGTACAGTCACTTCTCAGTCCTCTGCATTTTCCGTGGCCACATTGCTAACAATTTAAGATGTTTAAATCTCTTCAGAATTTATTGAACTTCATGAATTCGTTTCAGATATCTGAAGGATATCCCTTACGTCATTCACAGAGCTGAAAATTGTTTTTCTCCTTATTTAAGCACAACATAGTGATAATCACTACTGTTTATTGAGAGCTGTGTACCAGGCAGAAAGGAGGAGAGACAAAAGGAGAGGTCAGAAAGGGGAGGGGAGGGAAGGAAGAGAAGCCTTTCATATTCCTTACCTCCTTTGACCTTAACAAAACCTTGGGTGGTAGGTGGTGGTTTCCTGAGCTTGTAGTTGAAAATAACATTCCCCATATTAGGACGCAACCCTGATCTGTCTTGACTCTAGAGCCCATGTTCTTCAGCACTATACAGTACGGCGTATAGGAAATAGGCTTAGAAAATTCATCACGTGGGTCAACTAATGAGCCACATATGCTCTTATCGAGAGTTTTGGTGATTGGTGACTGGGCCAAGTGACACAAACATAAAAATGCTGCAGCTTGGGGAGGTAAGTCAGTTTGCTAAATCTCAGCAGGACAAGCAGGCGAAGGATTACTGTTCTCTCTCAGACGTGAATGTTCCCTTGGCTCTCAGCTCCTCTGTAATCCAGTTGCCTTTCCAATTCCAGTCCAAGATCCATGCCGCGAGAAGTCTGAGTGAGATTGCTATTGACCTGACCGAGACTGGCACGCTGAAGACCTCTAAGCTGGCCAACATGGGGAGCAAAGGGAAGATTATCAGCGGCAGCAGCGGGAGTCTCCTGTCGTCAGGTAAGCACGGGTTCGGTTTGGGAGTGGCCTGTTGGAGAGCATTAAAGAAGTTCCCGCTGAAGTGTGCCTCTGGCCCCAGAGCCGGTGAGCATGTGGGGAGTAGCAGCAGCTGAGGAGGCAACTGCGCAGGCTCAGCCAGAAGCTGGACCACGGTTTTGAGCCAAATGTGAATCTGAGAAAACTGCCAAAAGTATCAAAGGGTAGGGGTGGGGAAGAATCAGCAGAACCATGCAGTGTGAAAAGGGCTGTTGGTCACACAAAAATTTCTTCAGCCACCCTCAAGAGCCTCTGTGAATGCTGTTGACTGACCATCAGGAATCCTTTCTCCAAGTACAGAAAATGGGGCTCACTTGTGTGTCATTAAAAGTGAATTATGTTAATGAAAGGCACGGGTATGATGCTGGGAGCCACTTCATTGTATTCGCAGGAGAATTTCTCAAGACTTTAAAAAGCACAGAATAATCTTGATCATCTCGGACATGAGAGACTTGCTGTCACAGAGTGTGGGATCATTATTAAGTGCATTTTAAAACCCAAAGTCAAAGGTTCTGGTTCTGCCATCTGCTTCTGCGGGCCTGTGGCAGGTCGTTTTATCATTACATGGGGGTTGGGAACGTAGGGGGACAGAAAAGCTCTGAGCTTTCAGATCTGGCTGACTTCAAGAACAGTAATGCCATTCACTGATACGGCAGGAAGAAGGGCGAGTTTGAGGTGGGCAAAGAGAGGAGGGAGGCAATAATTGTTTGAAATGTTAGAAGAGTATAACTAATTGAAGGTTACTCCACAGCCCACATGGTAAATGCCTGGTTGTCCTTGGGAACCACGTAGTCTTGCCTCTGAACTGTGAGAACAAAGCAAGAAGCCTTTTTTTAAAAAAAAAAAAGTTGTGGTGGAGTCTACGCTGACTCATGGCAACACCATGTGTGTCAGAGTAGAAGTGTGCTCCATAGGGTTTTCAGTGGCTGGCTGATTTTTTATAAGTAGATCACCAGGCCTTTCTTCCAAGGCGCCTCTGGGGGACTCGAACCTCTAACCTTTCGGTTAGCAGCGAGCACATTAACCATTTGCCTAGGGGTGCCAAGAAATCTTTATCCTACTTCATGTTCCAGAATAATTTTTATAACTATATATAGTGACTAAGAACAAAAAAAAAGGGGGACAGGAACAATAGACAAGAGAGGGAAGAAGCAAAAAACTGTCTCGTTAGCTTCTGGGCTGGTGTGGTCCAGTCATAGCCAGGAAAAGAGTAAAACTAAAGGACTAGGGAAAGGATTGTCCCCTCCTGGACTGAGAGACAAGTTCATCATGAAACTAATGGAATGTATACTCAGAGCCCCTCACTTGCATGAGCCTTTCCAAGGCCCCGGGAGGGGCCCTAGCAATGTTCACATGCTCATATATTTTTGTAAAATTTGTAAACGCGATACATTATATATTCTTTTTCTTAAATTGTTGTTTGCTGCTGTCGAGTTGGCCTCTAACTCATGGCAACCCCAATGCGCAACAGAACAAAACTCTGCCTGGTTACAGATTGGTCTGTTGTGATCCATAGGGTTTTCATTGGCTCATTTTCAAAAGTAGATCACCAGGCTTTTTTTTTTTTTTTAAGTCCATGTTAGTGTGGAAGCTCCACTGAAACCTGTTCAGCATCATAACAACATGTAAGCCCCCACTGACATGGGGGTGGTAGCTATGCATGAGGTATGTTGGCCGAAACCTGAACCCTGGTCTCCTGCATGGAAGGCAAGAATTCTACCACTGAACAACCATTGCCTCTACAGCCACCAAAATTATAGAAGCTTCAGGCCCCACAAAACCTGGTCTCCCTCTGCCAGGTTAGAAGCTTCTTTTGGTTCATCAGAAACCCCTCCTTGCCTTGAGTTCTTCACAAATTTTTCATCAATAAAATGGGCCAAATGATAAATTATTTCTGAGAATTATAGGTATATCGTGAAGATAATGGCATAATGATTAAGCGCTCGACTAGTGACTAAAAAGTTGGTCGTTCAAACCCACCAGGCAGCTCCACAGGAGAAAAGACCTGGTGCTCTGCTACAGTCTAGAAAACTCTATGGGGTGGTTCTACTCTGTCACATGGGGTTGCTATGAGTCAAAATTGACTCAACAATGACAACAAGTGAAGATGGTAGATAATTTTGTCTTTTCATATGCAGGAGAATTCCACCCAAAGACTAAGACTTCTGCCTGGAATTACAGCCACTCCCAGTCCCCTGCTGAATGGAGAGGGCAGGGCCAAAAGGCAACACCTGTGTTTGTCTTTTTAGAGACAAAATACAATACTTTCTCCTAAATCCTTTTTAAAATCCTTTTAAAAACCCAGGCTCTCAGATCAGCCCACTTTCCTCCTTATCTCGCCAAGGAATCCAGCCCCGCTTATTCTTCAGACTTTGGTGAATGGGTGAATCCCTGCTGTGGGATTCACATTCTCTGGGAAATCTGGGTACTTTCTGAACTTGCATGGTTATACCCAGAAGGAGAATGGATTCTTCAAGCTCAGTGGATCTCAAACTTGAGTATGCATGAGAACTACCTGGAGAGCTTGTTGAAACACAGATTTTTGGACCCTGTCCCAGAGTTTCTGACTCTGTAGATCTGGGATGAGCCTGCGAATTTGCATTTCTAACAAGTTCCCAGGTGATAAGGATTCTGCTGGTCCAAGGACAACTCTGAGGATCATGGTTCTAGCCACTGGGCTAGGGTTAGAAAGGAGGATTTTCAAAAGGTGACAAGTTTCTCAAAAGGCTTTTAAGGAACATTTATTAGGCACCACTATATTTATTTGGAAACCCTGGTGGTGTAGTGGTTAAGAGTTCAGCTGCTAACCAAAAGGTCGGCAGTTCGAATCTACCAGGCGCTCCTTGGAAACCCTACGGGGCAGTTCTACCCTGTCCTATAGGGTCGCTATGAGTTGAAATCGACTCAACGGCAATGGGTTTGGTTTTTTTTTAATGTTTATTTTAGCATGAGGCAGTAGGGAAAAAAAATAATGTACCAAACTGGATTCGAACAAGAGAGAAAAACCTGAGGTGGATGTGTTGCTGAGAATCATAGAACCCAGGTATTCCCACCTTGAAGCCTGTGTCCTAGTCCATTTACATGAGCCCCTCATATCCAGCAATGTCCAGGGGCACCAGGGCAGTAATCTAACAGTAGTTATACATGAGTCCCTGGGTGGTGCAAACTTAACATGCTAGGCTGCTAACTAAAAAGTTGGAGGTTTGAGTCCACTCAGAAGTGCCTCAGAAGAAAGGTCTGGTGATCTACTTCTGAAAAATAAGCCACTGAAAACCCTATAGAGCACAGTTCTACTCTGATGCACATGGGTTCCTATGAGTCAGAACCGACTTGACGGCAACTGGTACCGATAGCTATACGTGAGGCTCTGAATGTGAGCCCCAAACCTCCTGATATGGAAACTAAAATCCGTGAACCATCAGAAATGGGGTCCCTGCATTTTTAAGGCTAGAAAGTGATTAATCTTTGTTACTGCCATCAGGTTATCAATATCTTCAATCTCATGGGCTAGAAGATAAATCAAAAAAAAACCTTCCTGCTGAATCCACCCCACCCCCACACCTACTATAGGCATCTTTATCCCAAGGTATTAAAGTGATTTTCAGATGTTTAATAATTTAGTGGCAGGAGCCCCAGGCTAAGATGTTTAGGAGTTGGTAGAGTTAGTTACAGCAACCTGCCCTTCTCCATGTGCAGAGTGGCTCCAGTTGTCGACTCTGACTTCCTGAGTCCTTTCCCTGCCCAAACTCTGCTGCACAGCTAAGCAAGACGAAACACGGGCAAGAAGGCCAAGAGGTGTGAGTCATGCCGCCATGACTAGGCTCTTCCCAGCCCCTGCAAGTTGGAGCTTGAAAATGCCCTTTCATGCAAAGGTGGAGGCTTCTTGGGGATGCACCCACCATGACTTGGGAAAGACAAGTGGGCAGAGGAGGGAGAGATTGCTAACAGGAAACTTTCCATCAAGTAACAGAGAGAGTCTCTGCCAATCGCAGATCTTGTCACCCCCACTGGGGCTGCTGATTGCTGCCCCCACCCCATCCATATGCACACACACCGTATTTTATTGCACCGGGAGAAGGAAGCCTTCACAGGAGGCTAGCCTTTGGCAGTCCCACCTGGAAGGGAACGGTTTCATTCACATCACCCACAACAGGGAAATTTCATTCTTGGCTGGAAATCCAGGCAACTGGCTAGTCCTCTGCCCTTTCTTTTGTCCTTTTCAGTGCCCTTCCGCCTAGTTGCTTGTTGAGGACTCTTAGTAATGTGCTCCCACGGACAGGGTAAGCCTACGCTCTTAATTTTCCCAACAGCCCTGATTCTGTGCATTCTTTTCATTGTACTTGTCAGACTGTATGTTCTAACCTTTGGTTCAGGAAATATGATATTTTACAACTTCAAATCCAATTTAATAACTATTTTCTCTTTTCCCTACTGCCTTATGCTAAAATAAAGTGGTGCCTATAAATGCTCCTTCAAAGCCTTTTGAGAAACTAGTCACCTTTTGAAAATTCTTCTTTCTAACCCTAGCCCAGTGCCCAGCACCCTATAGGTGCTCAATACACAATTATTGAAATTGAATTTTGAAGAATACTAGTAAGATTCCTGTACGTTGTGCATTTTAAGAATCTTCTATGTTACCAGAGTGTATGATATATTGGGCCTTGCTAAAATATAAAAAAAATGTTGCCATCAAGTCGGTTCTGACTCATAACGATCCTGTGCGTGTCAAAGTAGAACTTTGCTCCACAGGGTTTTCAATGGCTGATTTTTCAGAAGTAGATTGCCAGGCCTTTCTTCGGAGGAGCCTCTGGATGGACTGAAGCCTCCAATCATTTGGTTAGCAGCCCAGTGCATTAATCGTTTGTACCACCCAAGGACACTTGGGCCTTGCTAAGAACCTACAAATGAACTGAAGAAACCTAGCATTTTCCCTCAAAATGTACTGTATCTTTTTTCTAATACTG